GGTGCATTTGCAGGTCGGAGGGATGGATGCCGGGGTCTGCCACAACACCTTTGTGGGGGTCAAAAAGAGCCTTGTTGATGGGTAGAGCAATCTTGGAGGAAGAGAATGTGTAGAGATATCCAGTAGTTTATGCTACTGGTCCTTGACTTCCTCCAAAAGGATCTGTAGGAAGTCTGCAATCCTGTGGAATAGATCTTGAAAGTGCCTGAAGTTGTTGGCAGACGTAGGGGTGGAGGCACGATAGCCTCAACAGGGAAGAAGGAAAAACCTAGTGTTGGTGGAGCCTCCTCCTTCTGTTGCTCCTCTTGTTCTTCCTCTTCAGTTGGTAACAGCGGGGGTTCAGCTTCCGGAGGGCAAGAGACTGATGGAGAAGGGAGAGGTGTAGGTCTCCAGCTTTGCTCTCTGGGAGAGCTTTCGAATTGTGCCCTGCACATGACCCAAGAGTCCGAATATGGTCAGTTTGGAGGGAGTGGCACATGTAGCTGCATCCATGGTGGTTCCTGCCAAGACTGAAGACCAGAGGTAGACCATGGGTAGTGAGGATGAGCAGGTGTGATTTGTCTAGTAGATGAGGAAGTGATGTCTTCCTCCTCCTCTTTATCCTCATCGCTGGGGAAGGGAGGTACCATCCCTTGGGGGGGAGGGATAGCTCAGTGGTTTGAGCATTGGCCTGCTAAACCCAGGGTTGTGAGTTCAATCCTTGAGGGGGCCATTTGGGATCTGGGGCAAAAATTGGGGATTGGTCCTGCTTTGATGACTTCCTGAGGTCCCTTCAAACCCTGATATTCTATGATCCAAGGCGGAGAGAGGGGGGAGTGTCGTGAGTCTGGAGAGGAGGGTGAAAGTCAGGGGAGGTCATATCGAAGGAGTGTCTGATACTAACAGGTCTTTATAGTATCTAAAGTCTTGTGGAGGGGGAAAAAGCATCATCAGTGGTAGTGTAAAGACGGTGCCAAACGAAGGGTGTATGCCCCTGAGGTGTCAGTAGATGGCACCAGAAACTTGGTTGGCACTGAAGATTTGGTCAGTGCTGATGGCTTGGTTGGCACTGAAGACTTGGCCAGGGGCCAATGATTTGGATGGTGCCAAGGGCTTACTCGGTGCTGACGACTTCGTTGATATAGGAAAGGGTGCTAGCGCCGTAGCTCCTGCATTTGGCCTGTCTCATTCCTCAGAGCTGTAGGTTTGCCCAGTTAGGGTCTGTAGACCTTTTCTTTGTGTCAGTACCAGAGGGACTTGGACGGGCCCTGGAGCTGTGTCCCCTGCCAGATAATGTTGAGGCCACAGACCTGGCCAGGGATGGTGTTCCGATGATGTGCACCTCAGAGTGTGAGGAGGGAGCCCATTTCTTTCTGTCCAAGCAAGAAAGGGATGACTTTCTCTTCACAGGATGTGGGGAGTGAGGATTAGCAGATGACCTAGAATTGTGTGGGACCCTCTCTGGGGAGGAGTCTGGGCCCAGATCCAATGCCAGCTGCAGCAATTTCTCTATGAGGAGAAGTTCGAGGCAGTGGGAACACTTTTGCAGGATGTGTCCCCTCTCCCAAACAGTGGATGCACTTAGTTTGGCCGTCCGTTACTGGGAAAGTAGCCCTGCAGGAAACACACCTCTTAAACCCAGAGGATTCAGGTATAAGGGTGACAGAAAAAGGCTTCCCAGGCAGGAAGCAGGAAAAAAGAGAAACCTAGCTATGAGTGTGACAGATTGGATCACAGAAACTCCCTTGGGGCTGCCAACCAATGTACCAAGACTACTTCTGCTCCTGCCTTCCCTGCCAACTTTGGACTCCAGAACCCTGCCTGGTTGTGCCAGACATGCTTGCTGGCTACAAACACAGACCGAGGTTTGAACCATGTTCCCACAAACTGCAGGCTTAATTGAAAAGCAGCTTAAGAAGTGTTCCTATCTTTAACACTCAGATGTCCAACTCCCAATGGGGTCCAAACCCCAAATAAATCCATTTTACCCTGTATAAAGTTTATACAGGGTAAACTCATAAATTGTTCGCCCTCTATAACACTGATAAAGAGATATGCACAGCCGGTCGTCGCCCCCCCCCGGTATTAATACATACTCTGGGTTAAATAATAAGTAAAAAGTGATTTTATTAACCACAGAAAGTAGGATTTAAGTGGTTCCAAGTAGTAAGAGACAGAACAAAGTGAATTACAAGTAAAATAAAACACGCAAACCTATGCCTCATATAGTAAGAAGACTGAATACAGACAAAACCTCACCCTCAGAGGTGTTCCAGTAAACTTCCTTTTACAGACTAGTCTCCTTCTAGTCTGGGTCCAGCAATCATTCACACCACCTGTAGTTACTGTCCTATGTTCCAATTTCCTTCAGGTATCCTTTGGGGGTGGAGAAGCTATCTCTTGAGCCAGCTGAAGATGAAATGGAGGGGTCTCCCAGGGATTTAAATAGACTTCCTCTTGTGGGTGGACACCCCTCCCTCCCCCTGTGTAGAATCCCAGCTACAAGATGGAGTTTTGGAGTCACATGGGCAAGTCACATGTCCATGCATGACTCAGAACTTACAGCTAGCAGCCATGGTTCACATGCTACCTTGAACGTTCTCAAATAGACTTCTTATGTGGATTGGAGCCTTCCAAGATCTATTGTCCATTAAGTGTTTCTTGACTGGGCACTTAACTTGCACATTCCTTTCTCAAGAAGCTGACCAAATGCTTTACTAAGGCTACTTAAAATCAAGCAAGTACACAGCCAATATTCATAACTTCAAATACAAAGATGATACATGCATACAAAAAGGAGGACTAGATTCAGTAGATCATAACCTTTACAGAGATATGTTACATGGCATATGTAGCATAAAACATATTCCAGTTATGTCATATATACATTCATAAGCATATTTCCATAAAGCCTTATGGGGTGCAACGTCACAGTGAGATAACTGTAGAGGTAAAGTTAAACAAAACCAATAGAAAAAACTTTTTTTTTAGGAGAAGAAAAGAGAAGAAGAAGAAAATACTAACCATGCTACGCTAGCAGGTAAGATACTATCTACTGAAGGAATAGGAGAAGCGGGCTCTGCTGTGGATTCTGTCCCAGACCAAAGGTGGTAGAGAAGGAATTAGGGGTGGCTGGACCACACAGCGCTATATGTACGTCCTGCACAGTGCAGGAGATGGGAGAAGTCCAATGGGGACTGCTGATGAAGATCTCCAATACCAGCTGCAGGGGCACTGCCGCACCTACAAGTGGAGCACCCATAAGGACATCACTCAAAGAAGAACCAGATAAGTTCATGGAGGACAGGTCTATCAAAGCTAATGGCCAAGATGGTCAGGGATGCAACCCCATGCTGGGGGCAACCCTAAACCTCTGACTACCAGAAGCCGGGAGGAGAAGACAGGTGAGTCACTCAAATTGCCCTGTTCTGTACATTCCCCCTGAAGCTCTAGCACTGGCCACTGTGGGAAGAAAGGAGAGAGAGCTAGCTGGACCATTGGTCTGACCCAGTCTGGCCGTTCTGGGATTGTTTAGGGAGCTGGGATTGTTTAGCCTGCAGAAGAGAAGAATGAGGGGGGATTTGATAGCTGCTTTCAACTACCTGAAAGGGGGTTCCAAAGAGGATGGCTCTAGACTGTTCTCAATGGTAGCAGATGACAGAACGAGGAGTAATGGTCTCAAGCTGCAGTGGGGGAGGTTTAGATTGGATATTAGAAAAAACTTTTTCACTAAGAGGGTGGTGAAACACTGGAATGCGTTACCTAGGGAGGTGGTAGAATCTCCTTCCTTAGAGGTTTTTAAGGTCAGGCTTGACAAAGCCCTGGCTGGGATGATTTAACCGGGAATTGGTCCTGCTTCGAGCAGGGGTTTGGACTAGATGACCTTCTGGGGTCCCTTCCAACCCTGATATTCTATGATTCTATGATTCTTACGTTCTTCACTTCTTCCCAACCAAGGCTCCCTACTGACTGACCAACGCAGAGCCACTGCTGGATACCAGAGTGAGAACTTCTTGGAGAAGAGTGATGGTTTATGTGATGTGGCCAAGACATAAGATCCAACTTCTGACTCAGACAATGAACCTGAGTCTTTTAACCAAGGAGGTGCCATGCCTCTGGGTGCCAGGGAACAGTGACAGGAGTCCAGAGTGGACAGCACCAGGGAAATCACATCTGGTTTGCCCCTCGACAGCACCTCACAAGGGGATACCAGTGTCTGGAGGTGCCCACCGGACTGGATGCTGAACTCTAGCAGCTGACATGTTCTGCACCAACAGACTTGGCAGACTGCATGCTTTGGTGTGACTGTTGTGCTTATAAGAAGCACACGGGATTTTTTTGAGGGGAAAAGGCCATACGCTGCTTTTATTGAAGATACAACAATTAGCATATTCATTTAATTACACACACACACACTCTGCCCCGCCAGTCAATGTTATAGTTACTAGTTTAGAGTTTGGATCAATCTAGTGGCCAGCTAGGTTGATCACGGGTAGGGAGGAGCTGGGTTCTGTCGATCATGACATGATGCTTTGGGGAAGTCTTGGCAGGACGAATCCAAAATTTTAAGGCAAGTCACCCTATTTATAGAGTGATTTTTTTTATTGGGACCAATGAGTTTTGCACCATCATGCTGTAATCAATTGTTGTTCGATGAGTGTTTGTTTTTTTAAATAGTTTTTTTATTTTTTATTTTGTTTTTTTATTAATTTTTAGGGACTTATTTTATGCTGGTTTTTGATTACAACTATTTGTTTTTATTGATAGGTGCCTGTTTTATTTTTAGAGTTGTTAATTTGCTATTTTTTGATATTTTAATAGGGGCATGTAGCAATTCTTTGGCGCCCTTGCATTTGTTTGGGGGTTTTTTTTAGAATATTTGGTTTAGTGATGGCTTTTATACTTATTTTTTAATATTTATTTTTTATTTATATACAAAACAGAATTAATTTACACAAAACATTTTGAACAGGAACATCAAATTGCAATGCAGAAGAAAAACAATTATGGCATTTTTTAACTTATTTTAAAATGCTAAGCCTGTAATGAAGTGGTGACCTTGAAATCAGGCCAGACACAAAGAAATTCTGGCTGATGCATTTTTATTAATGGCACATTAGGCCTTTATTTTAAATGGTACAAAATACAAACATAACATTTTATGACTACACAACAGCACCGGGAGAGTCTCTCGCTGCTGCTGAGCCAGAGAGGACGGCACAGAGGAACAGGCTGGCATTCAATGGTACTGGTACCAGTCGAAAACCCTGCCAGAGGCTCCACGTGCACCAGGCAGGGCCTTGGCTCAAAGCGCACTGTATCCTGCTTCCCACGTTGATTGCTGGACAGTGGTACCTGGGATCTCGAGCTTCTGGATCATGGGTCCCTCAATGCCATCTTCCAGTGTTTCTTCTTGGGTATCAGAGATCAGCGCTGAAACTCTGCCTCAACAGGAGGAGCGTTCCTAACGCAAGTGGCGGTGGTTGGTGACTACCCTGAGCGGGAAGGTTGCAAGGCTGGGAGCAGGGCTGCGTCCATAAGGAGGAGCTTTAACCTGACTCACAGACCACTAAGGCCAGAAGGGACTATCGTGATAGTCTGACTATCGTGATATCAAGTCTGACCTTCTGCACATCACAGGCCAGATAACCTTGCCCGTCCATTTCTGCAGTAGACCCATAACCTCTAGCTGAGTTACTGAAGTCCTCAAATCTGACCTCCTGGTCCTTTTAGGTTCCGGGCTTAAAGTCCCTGCAAATCTGGCAATCGTCACTGATGTGAGCTTCTCCTAGGCACTTCAAGCACCTGGAGTGCGGGTCACTGACTGGTATTGGCATCCATTGCAAGGTTTGAAGCCCATGAACCAAGGCATGCCCCAGCACTGGGCATCGGTGCCCAGAACTGACAGGAAATGAAGCATAAAGGAAGTACACTAGTAAAAGAAAAGGGAACCCTACTGCTAAAACACTACACTAAGACTGCTAACAAATACCAACTACGTAAACTAAAAAACACTAAGAAAGAGGAAAAGACTTGCGGTAGCATGCTCTGACAGCCATCACAGATCGTAAGAAGGAACTGAGGGGGGGTGGCTATGGCTCTGACCTTTAGACCACAAGCAGCAGCATGAGCATATGCTGCCCCGACAGGTATCACTTAGGGAAATCTCTGACGCTGGTGCATTGGGTGTGCACACAGCTGAAGTGGGATGGACACGGCAATTGCTTGAAAAACTTCATTTACTATAAAAATTGCTCTACAAATATCTTATTCTCCCTCCTCTGCTGGTCCGTGCAAGTCCATCGTGTGAGCACACAAAGCATCCCTGGTGTCCGTTGCCCATGTGCACTTGCTGGCTGAGTGTACCAGTTTAGCCACCCAGGGCAAACGGCCCACCTTTGGATTCACAAAGATTGTGACGGGCACAGCAAGACACAGTGATGCAGACAGCATTAATAACACTGGGATCAAAACAGTTCTATAAACAGTGCCAGTGAGATTTCAATCTGCCAATCGCACATTCAACCACCCCTCTACACCCACACCAAGCCCTTGGAGAACAGGAGATGGCTTCATAAGCCAAGACAAAAGGGGGTATGCAGGGTCCCCTAGAATAACAGTAGGGATAGTAACTCCCATTATGTCCTTTGGTATCATTTGAAGGGAATAGTGTCCATGAATGTAGACCCCTGATCAGAGGAAAGCCCTGGCATCATGAACTTTTTCATTGCAGGCCACACTGGTGTTCACAAATTGGCTTCTGTGGCCCAAAAGGGCCTGCATAACAATGGAGTAGCGCCCTTTGAGGAGGGCAAGCTGTGGGCATGTGGATCCCATCAATGGTCTGGCGCAGTTTGGAAAGTCCATTCTCTCAAAGGGAGTGGGGACGTGGCTGGGGGCTTGCTTTCAGGCCCCTGGCCAGGGCAGGTGGAGGGTCCAGGGATCCCCACAGTGGCCTGGGCTCCCTGGGCAACTCTTACTATGGCCTGACTTCAGCTTCCAGCCTGGCCGGGGGTGGGCCCTCGGGGTGGGGCCTCGGGGGGAAGAGGAGGAGCAGGGTAGCCACAGCTCTGGCGCCAACCCCCCACACCCCCACTTCTACACAGGCTCCAGCACTCCTGGTGCAGACCCACAAGACAGCTTGGCTGGAAGCGTTGGTGGGCTGCAAGAACTTCCTGTCAAGTGCCATGGGATGGACAGTCACGTTTTCCCACAGTGCACCTCAAACAAGGCTACAGAGGCTACAGCTGGGGAGGGCACGAGGAAGCCTGGGAGAAGCTGGTTGGACTGGGCTCTGCGTCGTGCAGTGTGGACACGTGAGCATGGGTACGAGTTCCTGGTCCAGAAATCCGAACCCTAGGATCAGTATTCAGTGTGGATGTTCAAGCCCAGGCCTGCAAACACCAGTTCCCGCAGAGCCTGGGCTCACATTGTGGTGCAGGCAGACCGTGAAAGGAGAAGCCAACACCAAGCAAAGCAGCTGTAAGAAAAGGGAACACCTGGGCGGAAATCAACCTGTCACCCCCTCCTGCCCAACCAGTGCCAGGTGCCCCAAAGGGAATGAACAGAACAGGTCATCATCAAGTGATCCATCCCCTGTCACCCACTCCCAGCTTCTGGCCAAACATTTCCCCTTCACACCCCCAGGCCCTCACCAAAGCCACGCAAGGTACTGATCCAGCTCTCTGCCTCCTCCCGGAGCTCCATGGCGTGGGGTGAGAGGATGATGTTCTTCAAGGTTAGCAGGCTTTTCTCCATCAGGGCTTTGAGTTCTGCTGTGTCTGGATTCAGGGAGAGAAGAGGTGAAGACTCTGGCAACCCCAAGAGGCCCAAAGAGGTGCTGGAGCCACCAGGCCTTGCACACAGGTGTACACACAGGGGCATTGGCCCAGCATAAGCCCTGTACCTTGGTGATGGAGACCCTCTGAGCTGTGGACACTCCTGGGGCGCTGCTGCCCCAGCTCTGGACTCTGGGACAGTGGGTGGGATGGGTGAGTTTCCCCCAAGTCTGGAGCCTGAAACTTCCAGTGAGGATGGGAACCAGCCAGGACCACAGCAGCTCAAGTCCTACACTCCTAGGAGAGACTCCTGGGAACTCCAGGTGGCTTCATTGGACAGAGCGGAGTCCATGTCCCAAGGGGACTCGGAGCCGTGGTCTGGCCAGTCTCAGAGGTGAAAGGAGCGGGTAGTCAGAGAACAACAGTCGCCCCATGTCTCCCTGGGAGGGAGAGTGCTGGCTCTGGTTGCAGCTCTGCTCAGACCCACCTCCCCCCGACCCCCCCGTGCAGCCTGTGACAAAGTGGGAATTTTTGGTAATATTTTCATTATTCCTTCACATGCCTCAGTTTCCTCTATACTTTGCATTGCTACCTGTGGGGGCCACCGTACTGCCTGGATGGAATAAACAGGGTAGTTAAGGAACTAGTTGAAACCGAGCCAGATTAACACCGGGTCAGAGAAACACTAGGAAGTCCCAACGACGGAATGCCCAACACTCAGCAGTGGGGAGCTCTGGCAGGTGGGATTGTGAACTCCACATGCCCTGCCTGGAGACAAAGGACTGGAGATGGCCAGCAGGGGTTTCTGAAGACGTTGGCTGCTCTGCCCTGGGAATGGGTCAGGACAGAGACAGGCACTTGACTGGTGTTTTGCACTGGCTTGGCCAGGGTGGATATGGCTTCACCTTTGCCTCTCTGAGCTAGCCAAGACCTTTTGGATTCTGTAGCCAGGTGACTAATAAAATGTTACCTTGTTTGCAAAGGCTGCCTGGTATCACTGCAAATGCTCCCTGAGAGCTTGGCGCCCTGACGGGGCCAGTACCAGCCTCCCACAGGCACCTGGCTGGACTGGAATCACTACAGGAAGCCACGGGGAGAGGCAGGTTTTCTGGTGCCCAAAGGCCAAGTCTCATAGTCTTGGAGGCTGCAGGCCTGCCCTGTGTGGCTCTTTGGGGCCCAGCACACTATAGGGTTCGCTCCCAAGGGACTGGTTTCAAGCTGGGGCATAGCCCAGACCTGTGAATCTCTGATACACCCCACTGGTCAATCAAGCCCTGATATCAATGACTATGGGCCCCACTGCTCATGCAGCACTCACCAGCCAGCACGAAGGTGCCGCTGTCCTTGGAAACGTACTCCTGCTTGGGTGGACGGTAGCGCCTGCTGGGTGGGTGGCGGGCACGGTCAGGCAGTGGGGCCTGGTAGGGCACGTTCAGGATGAAGTTGACCAAGCGGAACTGCCTCTCAGCCCAGGCCTTCTGCAGCTGGCGCAGGATGTCCAGGGAGTGGCAACGGCCTCGCTCACTTGACCAGATCTGGGGGCACCAAACACATGCTGAGTGGGAGCAGCAGGAACAGGCGTGAGCTGCAGCCCCGGCTGTGCGCATTCAGGCTTGCAGCAGCTCCGTAAGAGACAGGCAGTCCTGCTGCTTAAGGCAGTGCCACGACAGGTTGGAGCCTTTCCTGCTAATCCAGCAGTTTTCAAAGTTTTTGAGCTGAGCCCCCCCTTGATTTACACTTTTTGGTTGCGCCCCCATACCCCAGACAAAAATAGACACAATACCCACCCCTCCCCCCTCAGCTTTTCAGGGTGTGGGAAGGCACGAGCGGCAGTCTCTGGGGGCAGAGCCAGTGCTGGGCACGGAGGCTGCCAGGAGCAGAAATTGGCACACCAGCAGCAGATGTGGACACTGACCCACACGCTGGGTGGCCTGCTGCCGTGAGTCAGGGGGTGGAGGTGGTGTTCTTCCCTGAGCACCGCCATGCAGAGTTGGCCCGAGCTGCCAGGGGTCGCTGCTCACCCCACCCACCAGAACATTCCTCCATGCCCCCCGTGGGACTCTGTACCTCAAAGCAGCTCCCTGAAATCCCCCTATATTCACCCCTGTCATATAATAAAAGTATGCCTGGTACAAAGGATGCCTTCTGAGGCATCTTGATCTGTTGAATATTAATGTCCTGTTGGATTGTGTGTGCTGTCACTGTATGGGAAGTTAGGAACTTTTGCTATGTGTGTGTTTCTGAAATCGGTGGTGAGTTTGGGAACACCCACAACCAGCCTTTCAGGTACAACAACAGAGGAGCCAAACATACTGATAGCCCATCAAGGAAAGAATCCACTATCTCAGGAACTGTAGACAAAGGTAACGGCTCAGAGAGAGCGCCTAGACAGCGGAGACCGCTCAGAGAGAGCGCCTAGACAGCGGAGACCGCTCAGAGAGAGCGCCTAGACACAAAGACTGCTCAGAGAGCGCCTGGACACAGAGACTGCTCAGAGAGAGCGCCTGGACACAGAGACTGCTCAGAGAGAGCGCCTGGACACAGAGACTGCTCAGAGAGAGCGCCTGGACAGCGGAGACCGCTCAGAGAGAGCTCCTAGACAACGGAGACCGCTCAGAGAGAGCTCCTAGACAACGGAGACCGCTCAAAGAGAGCTCCTAGACAACGGAGACCGCTCAAAGAGAGCTCCTAGACAGCGGAGACCGCTCAAAGAGAGCTCCTAGACAGCGGAGACCGCTCAAAGAGAGCTCCTAGACAGCGGAGACCGCTCAAAGAGAGCTCCTAGACAGCGGAGACCGCTCAAAGAGAGCACCCAGACAACTCAGACCACTCAGAGAGAGCTCCTAGACAAAGGAGACTGCTCAGAGAAAGCTCCTAGACAAAGGAGACCGCTCAGAGAAAGCTCCTAGACAACGGAGACCACTCAGAGAAAGCTTGTAGACAAATGGAGACCGCTCAGAGAGAGTGCCTAGACAATAGAGACCTCTCAGATAGAGCTCGTAGACAATGAATTTGACATTGCCCTCCATATGCTTTATGAAAATATGCTAATGAGTGTGAATATAATATAACTGGAATATACTTCATGCAAAAGGTCTCCAGTAAAGTATCATTACTTTATAAAGCTTATAATCTAATGAGTGTGTTCATCCTATTTGTATGAATGTATCATTCTCGTCTCTGAAGCTAGAAATACAAAGTATTACTCTGAAGTAACTATGCAAAGTGTGGGCCATTAATGGTGGCTTGGCATCTTGATGGCTCCATTAACTAGGACAATTGGTTGTAAATGGCTCTGTTTACTTGTAAGACTTCCTGTGTTCCCGTGAGTCAGGACGGAAAGAATGGAGGCTTGAGGTCTCACAGGACATGTGACCATGTCACCTGGTACTGGAATCCATCTTAAACCTGGTGCTTTTCCATTTAGAAGGAAGGGTGGGAACCTAGAGAGAGACAAAGGATTCCTGCCTGGTGCCAAAGATATAAAAGGGGGTGGAACAGAACATAAGGGGCTGCAGTCATGGAAAATCCCCTAGTTACCACCTGACCTGGAACTAACAAGAACTGTACCAGGGGAAAAGATTGGGCCCAGACTAAGAAGGAGTCTAGTCTGTGAAAGAAGTTTATTGGAACATCTCTGAGGGTGATATTTACCTGTATTTAGTTTCTCAATGTATTAGGCTTAGATTTGAGTGTTTTTGCTTTATTTTACTTGGTGACTTACTTTGTTCTGTCTGTTATTACTTGGAACCACTTAATCCTACTTTTTATTCTTAATAAAATCACTTTTGTTTATTATTGAACCCAGAGTAAGTGATTAATACCTGGTGGAGCAAACAGCTGTGCGTATCTCTCTATCAGTGATATAGAGGGCAAACAATTTATGAGTTTACCCTACATAATCTTTATACAGAGTAAAATGGATTTATTTGGGGTTTGGATCCCATTGGGAGCTGGGTGTCTGGGTGCTCAGACAGGAGTACCTGCTGAGTGGTTTTCAGTTTAAACCTGCAGCTTTGGGGACATGGTTCAGACCACGGGTCTGTTTTGCAGCAGGCTTGCGTGTCTGGCTCAACAAGACAGGGTTCTGGAGTCCCAAGCTGATAGGAAAAACGGGCTCAGAGGTAGTTTCAGCACGTCAGGTGACAGTCCCAAGGGGGTCTCTGTGACCAAACCTGTCACTATGGAGACCTCTCGAAGAGAGCTCATAGAGAATGGAGACTGTTCAGAGAGAGTTCCTAGACAATGAAGACCTCTCAGAGAGAGCGCCTAGACAATGGAGACCACTCAGGGAGAGCTTGAAGACAAAGGAGACCACTCAGGGAGAGCTCGAAGACAATGGAGACCGCTCAGAGAGAGCATCTAGACAACGGAGACTGCTCAGAGAGAGCGCCTAGACAACGGAGACCTCTATGACGTGATTGACATGAACTGGGACCGTATAGATCATTGTTGCAACCAAGCCCCTGCAGTGGCACCAAATCTTGTATAAAGGGGGTCAAATAAGGCGTCTAAGACAAGGGTATGGTTTGCTGGTTAGGATTATGCTGTCTATATGCATGTATCATTTTTGTATTTAAAGATGTAAGTATTGGCTCTATACTGTCTGTATTTCAAACTTGTGCTATGCTTCTGGGTGACACCGCAGACAAGTTGGTGTCAACTCTGCCTAGCCTTCTGGATGGTCCATTAAGGACCATCAACTATACAACTGACCCATTGAGAGAAGGCAGACACACCTTGCGACTCAGCAAGGTATGCAGGGACCTGCCTATGGACAGGACTCTGAGGTGTTTCCAGGCCATGGGATGGGCAGCTTGTCTTTGGGACAAAGAAAGCAGAGACCACATGGCAAGAGATTGTAAAAAGCTGCTGCAGCTCCTCCATCTTGTCTTCAATCCTGCTTCATACCTCTGGAGGGACTTTGCTACAAATGAAAGCTCTACACAAAGGACTGATGACCCAGTTGTGGATGTCCTCCAGAGTCTTGATTTGAACCTGCAGTTTATTCCATCACTGCTACAAGCGTGAACCAAGAACTTGGCCGTTACTGTATGTCATTGATTCCATTGAACCAATTCTCATCTCTATGTTTTTCCTTTTATGACTAAACCTTTAGATTTTAGGTTCGAAAGGATTGGCAACAGCATGATTTGTGGGTAAGATCTGATTTGTATATTGACCTGGGTCTGGGGCTTGGTCCTTTGGGATCGAGAGAACCTTTTCTCTTTTACTGGGGTACTGGTTTTCATAACCATCTGTCCCCATAATGAGTGACACTGGTGGTGATACTGGGAAATTGGAGTGTCTAAGGGAATTGCTTGTGTGACTTGCGGTTAGCCAGTGGGGTAAAACCAAAGTCTTCTCTGTTTGGCTGGTTTGGTTTGCCTTGGTATGCATAGAAATCCCAGCCTGTAACTTCCCTGCTTGAAGCAATTTGTCCTGAATTGGCACTCTCAGCTGGGTCCCGCTAGAACCAGCATTGTTACAGATGGCCAGTCAAGTTCCTCACACTGTACCAGGAACAAAGGCTAGAGCAGCCAGTCACGGAGTCCCCGGTTGATGCTCTGAAACTGCTCCCTATGGAGCCAGGCAGGACTCTGGGGAAGTCTCCTCTCTGAGAGCAGCCTGACCCCAGGGCAAACAGCTCACACAACTTCCACCTTCCTGGGTCTGACCTCGGAGCATTCAGCCTCCTCTGCCCCTCCGAGGGCTTCCCACAGCGAGTCTGCCCAGGTGGGGTCCTGGAGAAGCCAGAGGGCCCTGCCCCCCAACTCCGCAGTCAGACGTGACTCTCAGCCAGCCAGGAAAACAGAGGGTTTATTAGACAACAGGAACATGGTCTAAAACAGAGCTTGTAGGTGCAGAGAACAGGACCCCTCAGCTGGGTCCATTTTGGGGGGCAGTGAGCCAGACAACCCCATCTGCCCTTCACTCCATGTCCACAGCCAGCCCCAAACTGAAACTCTCTCCAGCCCCTCCTCCTCTGGGCTTTGTCCCTTTCCCGGGCCAGGAGGGCATCGGATTCCTTTGTTCTCCAACCCTTTAGCTCTCACCTTGCAGGGGGGAAGAGCCAAGCCATCAGTTGCCAGGAAACAGGGTGTTGGCCATTCTCTGTGTCCAGACCCCTGCACACACCTGCCCTCTAGGGCTCTGCAACGATCATACACACTTATCCCACCCCCTAGATACTAGTCCCCTAGATACTATGCAGGTAGGGATAGGGTACAGGGGGACCTAGACAAACTGGAGGATTGGGCCAAAAGAAATCTGATGAGGTTCAACAAGGACAAGTGCAGAGTCCTGCACTTAGGACGGAAGAATCCAATGCACTGCTACAGACTAGGGACCGAATGGCTAGGCAGCAGTTCTGCAGAGAAGGACCTAGGGGTTACAGTGGACGAGAAGCTGGATATGAGTCAACAGTGTGCCCTTGTTGCCAAGAAGGCCAATGGCATTTTGGGATGTATAAGTAGGGGCATGTGATCGTTCCCCTCCATTCGACATTGGTGAGGCCTCATCTGGAGTACTGTGTCCAGTTTTGGACCCCACACTGCAAGAAGGATGTGGAAAAATTGGAAAGAGTCCAGCGGAGGGCAACAAAAATGATTAGGGGACTGGAACACATGACTTATGAGGAGAGCTGAGGGAACTGGGATTGTTTAGTCTGCAGAAGAGAAGAATTGACGGGGGGTTTGATAGCTGCTTTCAACTATCTGAAAGGGGGTTCCAAAGAGGATGGATCTAGACTGTTCTCAGTGGTAGCAGATGACAGAATGAGGAGTAATGGTCTCAAGTTGCAGTGGGGGAGATTTAGGTTGGACATTAGGAAAAAGTTTTTCACTATGAGGGTGGTGAAACACTGGAATGCGTTACCTAGGGAGGTGGTGGAATCTCCTTCCTTAGAAGTTTTTAAGGTCAGGCTTGACAAAGCCCTGGCTGGGATGATTTAGTTGGGGATTGGTCCTGCTTTGAGCAGGGGGTTGGACTAGATGACCTCCTGAGGTCCCTTCCAACCCTGATATTCCATGATTCTATGATTCCAAAGAACATATAGAACTTGGTTACAGAAGCTTCTATTATTTTTTGAAACTTAAGATTGTCACTCATTTGCATATGTATGTTTACCTGCTTTAATCTTGTAAATAATTCTCTTGTTTCCTTTTCCTATTTAGTATTACTTTTAGCTAGTTTATTATAGGATTGGCTACAAGCATTGTCTTTGGTGAGAGATCTAAAGTGCAACTGACCTTGGGTAAGCGACTGGTCCTTTGGGACTAGGAGCAACCTGAATATTGCTAAAAGAACAGGAGGACTTGTGGCACCTTAGAGACTAACCAATTTATTTGAGCATGAGGTTTCGTGAGCTACAGCTCACCTCATCGGATGCTGTGCTGTGACCTTTGGTGTAAGGGACCATCTGTCATAAAGGTATTGGGGTGACAAGACAGAGTGGCGTACCCAAGGGGACTGTCTGTGACTCCGTGTCCAGGCTGTTATAGTGTCTGAGGAGTTCACACTTGATAACCAGTTGTTTTGTGCCCTGGTTCCTAACAGTCGCCCTGAGGTTGGTACCCACACTCTGGAGTCACTGTAGTTCGTTTAAAATCCTCCTGAGATACTAGTGAAATGAAAAGAGTGTTACCATCATGATAGGGCATGATGACATCACCTGGGTTTTTTTCAAATACAGAACATTTATTTAACACATCTGCCTATTATTTTTGATAATTCTACCATTTCCATTTAGTAATGGACAAATACCATTATTAGGATTTTTTTTGTTCCTAATATACTTTAAAACTCATCTGCTGGCCATAGATTTCTCCTTATTCCCCTTGGCTTTTGATTTTCTACAATTCCTAGCTTCAGATTTATATTCATTACTAGCAACTTCCCCTTTCTTCCATTTGTTTTTATATATATAATTTTTACAGCTGCCTTCACTTCCCCTCCAGACCCACCCCACTGCCTGAGAACAGAACTCCCTGAAGTTTCAGAGCCTCTCAGCCATCTGGGGACACCATGGTCACAGGAGGTCCTTCCCCAGATCAGGACTATACAGGGGAAACCCATCCCCTCAACTCCACGCTTCCAGCCACTCAGCATCTGGGCTGGGGTGCCCAGCTCAGTGCCCCCAGTGGGACCAGAGGGGAAGGCCACCCATATGGAGTCCAAACTACCCATGTTGAACCCATGCTATCACTGATCCTGACCACGCAACACCGAGAGTCACATGGCAGGGTGAGCCTGCCCATGGATCCAGGTCCCGCAGTGATGGGTGCCAGCATCCTCCCCGCTCCATAGCCATTTGGCCACAGCCGAGCCCCCATCCCACAGGGCAGCAGTGGGCCTCTCTCACCTTGAGGATAGTGTCGCTGTGCTCCAGTAATGGGTAGGACAGCAGCTGGCCCAGCGTGAACTGCAGGTTGCCAGGGCACTTCACTCCCATTGCTGCAAGAGAACACAAGGGGGTTACTGTCAGCACCCCAGTGCCCAGACCCTCTCGCAGAGGCTGCAGGGAGTCCTGGGCTCCAGCAGGCACAGGCAAAGCTGCAAGCCCCAAGCCCCAGACATGTTCATAGATTTCAAGGCCTGAAGGGACCATTAGCTCCTGTACAGAGAGTGACGCTTGTGTCCAGCGGGTACCTAACAGCTGAGCCAGAGCCAGGCTTTTAGAAAGAGCCTCTCTAAATCCCAATGATGGGGAAACTACCCCATCCCTGGGGGAGCTGCTCCGGACTCATTCCACACACAATTTACACATCTGCACCTGATTTCCAGGCTGAAGTTGTTTAACTCTGCCTTTGGCTGGGAGATCGCAGAGCAAGTGGCTCACAGAAGCCTCTCCTCATGTAGGTATTTGTCGACCAGGACCCCTTCACCTAGCCAGACTGAGCTCCTGGTGTCTCTGACTAGAAGGCAGGTTTTCCAGACCTTGAATCACTGTCACTCTTCTCTGACCCCTTTTCAATTTGCCAACATCCTTTCTGCAGTGTGGACACCAGAATGGGACACAACACCCAGTGCTGGTCCCACTAAAGCCATGTCCGGTAACACCACCTCCCTGCTTCTCGACATTCCCGTTTAGCCCGCCTGGGTGCAGGTGCCCTCGCAGCTAATGGATGGCCTGGCAGCTCAGGCTTTTTCAGATTTCTTGCTTCCCAGGGCACAGTGGTCCCTGGTCATTAACTGTGAGCTACATTCTTTGTTCCTAGCTGAGGGAGGGCCTGGTATCTGGCTGTATTAAATCCTGCGGTGGAAATGAGCCCCCTTTACCCAGAGATCCAGGTCACTCCGGGGAACTAGCCAGTCACTAGCACTATTTACTACTCACCACTTTTTGTGTCAGCTGCAAACTTTGCCAGCAATGATTTTAGGTTTTCTACCAGCTCATTGTGAGGCTGTGGACTAGCCTTGGACTGAGAACTGCTCCCTGCAGGATCAACTAGAATCCCCCCCACCGACATATCAATGCCCCTAGCTCTGACAAAGCACTTTTCATTAGTCCTCTGAAAGCACTTTACCTCACCGCACCCTGGGCGGCAGGGTAGGGCTATCCCCAGTGTACAGATGGAACCAAGGCTCAGAGAAGCTAAGTGACCTGTCGAAGGTCACACAAAAATCCATGGCAGAGCAGGGAACTGATCCCAAGTCCTAGGCTGGTGCCCTGACCACTGGACCATCCCTCTCATCAGCATGAGACAATGCATCCCCATTCCTGATTACCTTCTGGGCTCTCTGAGGTAGCCAGCTTTTAACCCATTTCATGGGCCACGCTGATTTGGTATAGTGCCAACGTTTAATCAGAATGTCGTGTGGAACTGAGGCAAAGAGCCCACAGTCTTTTACATAAGCCCAGCTCCCTGTGCCACCCAGACCTGCCATTGGGTTGCCTTTGCCTGCCAAGCTCTGGTGCATAAAGCCATGTTCTGGGCACTGATGCTGCTCCAGCAGGACACACCCTTTCACTTGCTGGGCCATGCTTGAACAAATTCCCACGTGTCCAGGCTACTGTACCATAAACCCCAGGAGCTCTCCCCAGACTGATCGTCCCTTGCCCCTCTCAGAGCCAGCACTCAGCTAAGCAGGGCAGATACAGCTCCTTCCACTTCTCCCAGAGCTCTGCCTCTTCAGCCCCTGCCGGGGCTGCCTGGAGCTCCCTCCACTTTGTCAAGGCCTTTCTGGGCCTGAAGGTGCCGGAGCTGAATGCAGGGCTCCAGGGATAATGAGTCTGCAGAATTGTCCCCACTCTGCTATGGATTTTCCCTCCCATCGCTCCCTGCAGGGCTCACCCATGAAGAACTCCCTCCAGCAGCTATTCTTCATGAGCGAGCTGGCCAGCTTCTGAAGCAGGGGCAGAAACTGCTGGAAACTAGTGATCATGTGCACACAGGCCTGCAGGATGGGGTGATCGGCAGGCAGGGACTCTTCCATGTGGGATACTTCCCTCTGCCACTCAGCCATCTTCTCCGTGGCCAGTGGGGCGTTGAACTAGTAGGATAGAAAGACCAGCGGGTGCTCAGATAGCCTGGAGGGAGGGTGCCTCCCTCAGGCAAATCCATCCACACTCAGGAGAGCCCTATGGAATAGCGGGGTGGCTGCAGGTGGGAATCAGCAGAGCTGTGAATGTGTGGGAGGAGGCCAAATTTGGGATAACAAGGGAGATTGTAAGTCAGGATTGGGGGCACCAGCAGAGCTGGGATGGGCAGAGCTAAGGGCTGGAATAGCTGTGGGCCAAAAGTGAAGGGCACCAACAGAGCTCGGGGGGAGCTCAGGGCTGAGATATTGGGGAGTTGCAGCTCAAGACTGGGGGGGCACTGGCAAAGCTAGACGGAGCCCAGGGCTGAGCTAACAGTGGGCTGTGGGTCGGGAGTGAGGGAACCGGGGCTGGGATAGCTGTAAGGCAGGTGCCGGTTGTTACCTTGCTGAAGGCGAGGCACCTCCATTCAGTGATCTGCTCGGAGATGGTGCGGAGCAGCTTCCAGACATGCTTATGGGCCTCAATGAGCCCCCGGCTCCTGGCCAAGAAGGAGATGTCTGTCTGCTCCCCTGGGAAGAGCAAGGACATGACATTCACTCGGGAGGACTCTCGCCCACACCCCTAGCCAGGCAACAGCACAGAGGGGATGCAGCACTCCCGCTGCTGTTCTCATGCAGGCTGGGTGCAGAGCCCCTGGGACCCAGGGAGGTGGGCAGGGGCCTGGAGGTGAGGGGAATCACAGAGGCATTTCCCTGGGAATGCGAGGGTGTGTGCTCTGGGAAGTAACAGGGACAAGTAGGGAGCCCTGGGGTTCTGTCTCCCCAGCAGATGCAGGACAGGGCCCCGTTGCTCTCATGCCTGTGAGGATCCTCTGGGAGCGGCACAGCTCAGCCACACGGGTGGCCATGGCCTGGAAGCGGCAGTGCAGCTCTTGCAGCTCTTGCTCCATGGCACGTGGGCTCTGGGAGGGGTCCAGGAACTGCCCTGTGGTGGCCATGGTCAGCAACTCCTGCAGCTCCTGTCTGGCTCTCTGCAGTGAGTCGACCAGCTCAGCAATGATGCTGAGGCGCCGTGAGACAATGAAGTCCGAGGCCTCCTGCTGCCGGTACACGAAGGCCTCCCAGGTGTCCAGGAGCTGGGGACAGAGGCAGACCCCGATCAGGGGGACAGCTGACACATGCAGACACTACCCTGTGCTCCGGCTAGGCTTTGATTTCGACTATGAAGATTAAAAAGGTCCTGTGTTTTGGAAAGGCTGTTTTGGCTCCCGCTGGACACTGCTCCCAATGGGAGCAGAATCCAGCGTGGCCTGCTAAGCAATCACAGTTGGTAAAGGGGGCTCTCCCCCTGTGAACGGGGGGTCTAAGGAGTGAAAGAATCACAGGACTCCAGCCCAGAAAGGGGAAGGCTCAGGACTGACAACTGGAGGGGCTCCGCTCAGAGAGGTGTCAAGGGTGAAGCTGAACTGTCACACTGAGCGGCTGATCCCCAGCCTCCCTCCAGCTCCGAGGAAAGGGAGGCTCCAGCCTTCCTTCTTCCCCCTATAGGCCACAGCATGGAGACACCCTGGAAGAATTTCCACAACACTTCGAGGTGGGCACACTAAGGCCATGTCTACGCTACACACTGGTCAACAAAGTCATGATACAGCTGCCGAAGTCAGTATATTGTTTGGGCATGTGCATACTTAGCTGCTTGTGTTAGCACTGTGTGTACTCACCAGGAGTGCTTGTGGTGATGCAAAGTGTGTGCCCCATGGTATCTCAGTGTGCCATGGGCTGCAGTCCGGCACGATGCCTTTCGGGAAATTTTCACAATGTGTTGTGGGATGGAAATCATAGAATCATAGACTTTAAGGTCAGAAGGGACCATTATGATCGTCTAGTCTGACCTCCTACACAACGCAGGCCATGGAATCTCACCCACCCACTCCTGTAACAAACCCCTAACTTATGTCTGAGCTACTGAAGTCCTCAAATCATAGTTTATAGACTTAAAGGTGCAGAGAATCCTCCAGCAAGTGACCCATGCCCCACGCTGCAGAGGAAGGCGAAAAACCCCCAGGACCTCTGCCAATCTGCCCTGGGGGAAAATTCCTTCCCGACCCCAAATATGGCGATCAGCTGAACCCTGAGCATGTGGGCAAGACTCACCAGCCAGACACCCAGCAAAGAATTCTCTGTAGTAACTCAGATCCCACCCCATCTAACGTCCCATCACGGGCCGTTGGGCATATCTACTCACTCAGGGATCTCTGGGAGCTCGGGTTCAAGTTCCTAGCAGTCAATTTTCTCCATCCCATAATGCCATCCATATCCCAGCATTTTTGCAGGTTTTTTTAAATCCGAAACCAGCACGGCATGTTTCAGTTTCTGCCGTCTCTGACAGAAGCATGGAGCCTCTAGCCTGGTTTGCTGCAACGGTGCCAGCTGGGAAAGTGCCCTAGCGTGAAGGAAGAAATAAGGCCGCCATCCCTAGACGTTTTTAGGAGAGGATAGCAGAGTACAGAACAGACCCATTTACGTGAGAATCTGCTTAAAGCGCGGTAGGGCCAGGGCTCCCAGTGCTCCCTGTTTAAGACGCGAGACTCGTTAACACGCAGTACAGGAACTTGCTGCGTACTGCTACAGATTTGCTCACTAACTCACTGACACAGAAACTGGCAGGAAGCGCGGAGCAGAAACGTGTTGTGCGTCTTTACAGATATTGGTAAGGACGTATCACGCATGCTTAGTCATTGTCACGCCAGAGAGACATATAATATGTAGTAGTTATATAGGGATAGATATACTACATTAGAAAATGTTAACCATAGGCCTAATAGAATGGCCCGGCAGCTCGTGCTCCAGTGGGCTCCACCACGAGGCCACAGGCTTTTTCAGAGTTCTTGCTTTCCTGGCCATTAACTGTGAGCTACATTCTTTGTTCCTAGCTGAGGGAGGGCCTGGTATCTGGCTGTATTAAATCTTGTGGTGGAAATGAGCCCCCTTTACACAGAGATCCAGATCGCTCCAGGGCAAGCGTCAGCGTTCCTACACTGTAGAAGAGAAGCTAGCTGCAATAGATCGAGTAAATAGCAGAGAAACCCAGGCCAAGGTCCCAAAAGCTATTGGGATTGCCGAATCTACTCTCTGAGGATGGCTAAAAAATGAATCTAAACTGAACGGCTTTGTACAAAATATCGATTCTGCCGCGGGGCTTAGGCAAAAACATGTGCGCTGTTCAGCAAAACCCACAGTAGACACAGCCGTGCGCACAGGGTTTGCTCAGGAAAGGCTGAAAGGAATGCCACTCAGTGGGCCAATGCTTCAAGCCCAAGCGACAAAATTTGGAAATTTAACGGGGGATGAATCATTCCAAGCCAGCAAGGGGTTTATAAGTTGTTTTAAAAAGCATCATGGCATAGCGCAGGTATCGATTTCTGGAGAAAGCCGATCAGCTGATGAATCGGCCGTGAACGCGTTTCCCGCTGAGATAAAATCTATTTTACAAAATTAAGACTACCACGAAGAACAACTTTATAATTGTGATAAAACAGCTTTATTTGCAAAACTGCTACCTGATAAGACTTTAGCCTTTAACTACGAGACACAGAAAACAGCTGGATTTAAAAAGATAAAAGATCATGTGACTCTTCTTTTTTGTAGTAATAAGACGGGCAGCCATAAGCTTGTCCCTCTTCTCGTTGGCCGCTTTCATAACCCTTGCTGCTTTAATCACCTCAATAGAGCCAAACTGCCAGTAATATACGCTAACAGCAAAAATTCTTGGATGATGAGACTCCTTTTCGACAACTGGTTCCACAACAGCTTTGTTCCAGCTGTTCGTAAGCATCTGCAGTCGAAGAAACTCGAAGCCAAAGCACTTTTGCTACTTGACAACTGTCCAGCCCATCCTCCAGCCGAATCACTGGTATTGAGCGACAGAAAAAATTCAAGTGCTATACCTACCATTCAACACAACATCAAAAATTCAACCTTTAGACCAGGGCATTATTCAGAATTTTAAAAACAATTATCGATGGGAGCTGATTTCAGCGATCGTGTCATGCACGTCTTCAGGCATTTCCGAATTCCTGAAACAGTTAAACATGAAGGAAATTATTTATTTAGTTAAAAAAGCTTGGCACGGAGTAAAACAAAAGTCCATTGAAAACTGCTGGATGAAGGCTCTCGGTGATGCCTTTTCTGTCAAAGACGGCTCAGACTCGGAAAACTCCAGCAGTGGCACTGATTCAGAGCCAGACTTTGAAGGATTTTCAGAAGAAGACGTCCTACAAACACGCATGCAGACAAAAGAGGATAAAGGTAACCTTCTCTTTCAAATGATAAATTTTTTTAGTTTGGATACGGCGCTGGAAATCATTATCGAGTGGCTGGAGATGGATAAAGATTGCCCGACTTCAGAATTTCTGTCGGAGGAAGAAATATTAACGGGCTGTGAAGCTATGTCAGACCGCGAAAGTGATGGTGAGAATTCTAATAATGCAGGCCTAAATGACCATGACGAGGAGGATGTCGTTGAAAAGGTCAAAATTTCGCCCACAGAAGCCCTTACAGCTGTAGAAACTGTTGTAAGATTTATGGAGGAGCAAAATGTGGAAAATATCGAAATCATTCATCTGCGGCGAATGACAGACTTCATAAGAAAGAAAAAAAGTGCGAGCCAGAAAGAGCAGAAAATAACAGCTTTTTTTTCCTAAGTGAATCATAGACACTTTTTTCAGCATGGCCCTCTTAACCTGCGGTCCGTTAACATGCAGTCGTGACGGCTTGACTCCCGACATTCACGCATAAACAGGTCTGTACTGTATCTACATGAATGCTTCATCAAGATCTCTCAGGAGGATAAAAGGGACATCCTTACACACATGGCCCCACTCCCACTGCCTAACCCAACCTAGCTTAATGCCAACTCTGCTCCCTCCTCTCACACGAGTTGTAGGGTTCTGTCAGTTTGGCAATGGACTGGGCACCATTGTTAAGCATTCTAAGGAAAAATGCATGCACACACGTACCTGAGTTCCCTTTCCCCTTCCCAGGCTCCCATGCTCACCTGCTGGCACTAGCTAGACTGTGGCAGAGTCTTGGACAGGTCCTGGCTTGCAGCCTGGCTTGAGTCCCAGAACCCCAAAGTGACACAATACATGTCTATACTCCAGACTTCTCTCAGCATAGCTCTGTGGGTCAGAGGTGCGGGAAGGTGTGATCTCTGACTCGCAGAGCGGTGCAGATGCAGAAGCCCCTAGTCAAGTTGCAACCAAGCCAGCAAAGCCGGGGCTGGTTTTGCTGGAGTGCTACGCAGTGCAGCTTTGGGGGTGTAGCTGTACCTGTAGTCCATGCTGGAGTCTTAGGCAGAACAAGCAGTGTAGCCAGAGTCAGCCTGGACTTGGCAGAATAACAACACACCAGGTGTTGGTTAGTAAGCACATGCCTGACTAGAGAGGATGGTGCAAAAACACACAGATCTCTCAAGTAACTGCACGAACACATTCCTAAGAGATGGCGCGGGAACACACCAACCCATTGTACGGAAAGGAGTGGATGACAGGATCATGGATAAGGATGTTTTGTTGGAACTAGCAGGTACAAGGAGACGGGTGGTAACTAACAACGTCTGGTGTGTGAAATGAAACATGTTTGTATCAATGTTTCAAAGGAGAATCCTAGGAGGGGCATTGCCAAGGGGACAGCATCCAGGTGTGCTGACTGAGCAGGCACCATTGTCGTGGGCACACGTGGGCTATTGCACCTGTAGCTCCCTGTGGAGCACTATGACCGTTCTTCGTCGACAATCTACCAGGCTGACAATCTTCGCCACCAGAGCGAGGCTGTAGCCTGTCTCATGAATAACGTGGAGTGTGCTGAATGAACGTGCTGCACTGTCTGCAAGGACAGCCACACTGGCAGCATCAGCAACGCTCTGCAGCACTAACAGTAACCCCTCGCAGCGCTTGCTGGGGCAATGTACCAGGGCCGGCTCCAGCATTTTTGCCACCCCAAGCAGCAAAGAAAAAAAATAAAGAAGCAGGACCTGCTGCCGAAGAGGGAGAGAGGGAGTGAAAGGCCCGCCGCCAAATTGCCGCCAAATACGCAGACGTGCCGCCCCAATCACGGGCAGAGTGCAGCCCCTTTCTATTGGCTGCCCCAGGCACCTGCTTCCTTCACTGGTGCCGGCTCTGTAGTGTACCAGGATTCCTGTGCTGGAAAAGCACTGCTACCATACACCCAGCTGCAGAGACACTAACCTTTAGAAATGAGGAGGGGCTAGTCAAAAAGAGTCTCCAGGTAAAAGTAAAGGAAATAAAACCCTTACAGTCGCATGGAAGCTACTTAAGGGAATAGTGATGGAGTCCCAAAAGCCATGATCTGAACAAAACAGAGATCAGGAAGGCAAAGGCTGACTAACAGTGCAAGAGGCTGTCTGAGCCAAACAGAAACCATGTCAAATTTGGAACTCTGACCCCAGCCAATGAGCATAAATTAAAGCAGGAAAGGAGTAAAAGGGAAATTAGGAGGAATGGATGGAAGGATTTCAAACATCAAATTATTTCAACCTCTCAGAAGCAGCAAGCCACGAGTGCATCAGCAGGCTGTCTGGTTCGTGGGTGAAGGAGCAAGTAAAAAAATCATAGAATATCAGGGTTGGAAGGGACCTCAGGAGGTCATCTAGTCCAACCCCCTGCTCAAAGCAGGACCAATCCCCAACTAAATCATCCCAGCCAGGGCTTTGTCAAGCCAGGCCTTAAAAACCTCTAAGGATGGAGATTCTACCACCTCGCTAGGGAACCCAGTCCAGTGCTTCACTACCCTCCCAGGAAAAAAGTTTTTCCTAATATCCAACCTAAATCTTCCCCACTGCAACTTGAGACCATTACTCCTCATTCTGTCACCTGCTACCACTGAGAACAGTAAAGATCCATCCTCTTTGGAACCCCCTTTCAGGTAGCTATCAAATCCCCCTGCATTTTTCTCTTCTGCAGATTAAATAATCCCAGTTCCCTCAGCCTCTCCTCATAAATCATGTGCTCCAGTCCCCTAATCATTTTTGTTGCCCTCTGCTGGACTCTTTCCAATTTTTCCACATCCTTCTTGTAGTGTGGGGCCCAAAACTGGACACACTACTCCAGATGAGGCCTCACCAATGTCGAATAGAGGGGAACGATCATGTCCCTCGATCTGCTGGCAATGCCCCTACTTATACATCCCAAAATGCCATTGGCCTTCTTGGCAACAAGGGCACACTGCTGACACATATCCAGCTTCTCGTCCACTGTCACCCCTAGGTCCTTTTCCGCAGAACTGCTGCCTAGCCATTCGGTCCCTACTCTGTAGCGGTGCATTGGATTCTTCCGTCCTAAGTGCAGAACTCTGCACTTGAACTTCATCAGTTTTAACCTCATCAGATTTCTTTTTGCCCAGTCCTCCAATTTGTCTAGGTCCCTCTGTATCCTATCCCTACCCTCCAGCGTATATACCTCTCCCCCCAGTTTAGTGTCGTCTGTCATCTGTCAGAAGGTTATGGTTTTTCTCAGGGCTCTCGTTTTTACTGCTATAATTCTGTACAGTTAAAGCAGCACAACCCATGAGTGTGCACAGTGATACTGGTACAAAGGAAGCTCAATCAAAATAGCTTTTATAAGCATCTTTATCTCGGTAAAACTGCATTCCTGCTAGGGGATCGTACCGCTTTAACAGCCACAGTTCTGAACCCAAAGAGCTACCTCGCTCTTTGCTGTAGAGTGTGCGGGCGTGATCCTGGCCCTGGTCATGCTCTTTTCAGGCTGCAGATCAGGTGCTCTCAGGGACTGTCATGTTAGAAGAGATGCTGGAGCAAACTATATATGTAGTCTGCAGTCAATCAGGAAGTAGGTGGGTGTGGGGGGGGGAAATGGGAACAGGGAATGGGGCTGGGGAATTTGGAATCATGTTTAGCTAAAGGGGGAAATGGGAACAGGGACACAGGTAAACCTCTGTGGTGTCAGAGCTGGGAAGGGGGACACTAAGGAAGGAAACTGGAATCATGCTTGCTTTATTCATCCCAATAAACATCAAATTGTTTGCACCTTTGGACTTCGGGTATTGTTGCTCTCTGTTCATGCAAGAAGGACCAGGGAAGTAAGTGGGTGAAGGAATAAGCCCCCTAACATCTTGGTGCCGTGACTCGAATGCATCGCATTGGATAGGTGAGTGGCAGCCTGTAAGTCCCCCTGCCCAACAGTCCACGCAGCTGCTTGGAGAGGGTATTGCGAACTCTCTTGATGGTAGCTGCGGGTTCTGGCAAGCCAGGATAAAGGATTTTTTGGATAAATGGATAAGGAAGAACCAGGGCCCATACCAGGTGCAGGGGTCAACCTGGGATAAGATTAAAAAGGAAATGGAGGAAGTGTAAGGGGACCCAGAGGGATGTGGGGCGCTGAGGAGCCCACTGTCCTTTGGTATATGGGTAGTGGAAGAAGGTCCCTGCCCATGGGGACTGAATGCCCTCCACGGAAAGGAGAGGAATCCTTGTGGCACCTTAGAGACTAACCAATTTATTTGAGCATAAGCTTTCGTGAGCTACAGCTCACTTCATCGGATGCATACTGTGGAAAGTAAAAGATCTTCTGTGTACACACAAACCATGAAAAAATGGGTGTTTACCACTACAAAAGGTTTTCTCTCCCCCCTCCACACTCTCCTGCTGGTAATAGCTTATCTAAAGTGATCACTCTCCTTACAATGTGTATGATAATCAAGTTGGGCCATTTCCAGCACAAATCCAGGTTTTCTTCCCCCCCAACCCACTCTCCTGTTGGTAATAGCTTATCTAAAGTGATCACTCTCCTTACAATGTGTATGATAATCAAGGTGGGCCACTTCCAGCACAAATCCAGGTTTTCTCCCACCCCCCTTTTCTTTTCTTTATTTTTTCCACACACACAAACCCACTCTCCTGTTGGTAATAGCTTATCTAAAGTGATTACTCTCCTTACAATGTGTATGATAATCAAGGTGGGCCACTTCCAGCACAAATCCAGGGTTTAACAAGAACGTGGGGGGGGGGGGTGGTTAGGAAAAAACAAGGTGAAACAGG